GGGGCTGCTCACAGTGACCCTGTCTGTCCATCTGCGTGTCCAGCCTGAGGGGCTGCTCACAGTGACCCTGTCTGTCTGCGCACAAGAGTTAGGGGTTATGCTGTGAGTGGCCAAGGGACAGAGAGAGATGAGTACTGAGTGAGGGCCAGTGAGAGATGCAGACAAGTATACCGAGAATAAAACAAATCCTCTACTGAGCAATGTACATTAAGAAAAATAAAGCATACAGATTTTAGACAGTGAGTTGTGAGTTCACTTTGAAAAAATAATAATGCATAACATGCAGTAACTTAAGTTAATTATTCAATGTTGTTCTAATTACCTTTTAAGTGTCCCCTGATCTTGACTGCCATGCTAAGAATTGTGATGTTACATTGTGTGTGTTCTATTTTTCAAAAAATATTTTTAATATGGAAATATTTGCTGTATTGTGTTGGTTATGTGATACTTGCCAACTATTGGCAGTCTGATTTTCTCATTGTGGAAGATCAGTAGACAGAGCTGTTTTTTCTCAGTGTCCTGTTGTTTTATATATTTGTTCCTTTTTCCTGCTTTCTGCATTGCGGTTATTAATAATCTGTTGCCATTGCAGATGATCGTCTCTTTGTTGTGCTTTGGCAGTATTGTAATGCATCAGCACACAGATAAGGAGGAGGAAGATAGGAGACAGGGAGGGAGAAAAGAGAGCAGAGATATGGGCTCAGGTCCCTTCCAGAAAGAGGTCGTGTCAGTTTCCTGTCTTGCACAGCCACCCCAAAGCCGCCTACGCTCCTGCAGTAACTGTTAACCTGCTTGTCCGTGGGTCTCTGCTGCCGCTGATCACAGGAACAGGAGGAGCCAGAAGACGGATCACAGAAAGAGTCACGAAGAACAACAAGCTCTCTGCCTCTCTCACTTCTCCTACTGCCTGTATTTTCAACAAGCCACTTCAAACGATTCCTCACTCCCACTCTCTCTGCTCACGAGGAATCTTAGCCTCGTCCTGACTGGCTACTCCGACAGGAAGTCAGGAGAGCTGAAATCAGCAAAACTGGGAGAGAGGAGGGGAGAGAGGCAAGAGAGACAGGATGACAGGGGGACAGAGAGAGGAGGGCACGCTGTCCCTGTTAAGCAGAGTGGGCTTGCAGTGTCCACTCATTCTCTGCTTCTCTACTCTTTGCCACACAAGTTTTATTTGAAATGATTTACTGGCATGACAACATGAAGACATATTGCCATGAATCTGACATTAGGAACCCACAGACACAGAGGAACACAGCAATCACTTTCCCCTCTCGGCTACCACAGCCCCAGTCTCCTCCCTCTCTTCTGGAAAGGACATGTCTCGGCATTTTCTTCTCAACAAACTGGTGCAAAAAGCTCAACAAAATGCACCCAGAGGAACACAGCCAATTCACATCATGGGAGGGCCTGGGCTACATCTTCCATTTACTGCAAGAATAGAAATCACTAAAATGACAGTGATCCCTAAAATAAATAAATTACATATTAAGACTGCAGCCTGTTAAAATTACTCGCTTTAAACAAGAAGACTCTTCTCTGCATTTATTTAGAACTCAAAACAACCTAAAATTACTTTAGACAAAATATTGCTTCCATGAAAAAAGGGAGGAAAAACAATTATTAATTTCTTATTGGGTCACACAGCACATAATATCAGATGGGCAATCACAATGACTACCACAGTCAGACAACAGACTGAATCTGAGCCATTTGAACCACAGTCTGATTCTCTCTCTGTTGACAGTCTCTGCCTCCTGGAACACACTTGGATATACTGAAAACATCTGTACGATGTGACTGTACAATTCATTTAAAGCTTCCTTATGGAAGATGTGGTTCACTCTTCTTTATAAGCCCGTATTGCGGAATAACAGGTCTGAAGCAGGAATGTGGACATTATCAGACCTTAACCTTACCCTGTAAATAAGAATTCCCAAGTGTGCTCTGCCAATTAATTCCTAGGAATCACAATCTTCCACGCATCAGTAACTCAAATTAAATATATAACCAAAGTTCAGCTTCTTCTGATGGGGAATATTTCATGCATAATATTTATAATAAGAAATGTCAATGATGCACTTGCGTAGGGTAACTTAACACCATCAAGGCCCCAACAGCACATACACACTAGACAAAATAACAACATGCATCATTAACCTTTCTAAACACTTGTGCAAATGACACCACAGGTACAGAATTACTAGAAACTGTTCACGAGATCTACTTTCAGATGAATGCTAAGAGCAGTTCTCCAGGTAGGTCAGAACAAAACGATAACCTGACAAGGACTGTGGGACTGTGGGAGAATGAAATTCAGTATAATTAGGCGCTACAGTACCAGTCCAGTAGACCAGTCCTGTTACAATAGGAGCTACAGTCCCAGTCCAATAGGACAGTCCTATTACAAATAGGAGCTAGTCCCAGTCCAGTAGACCAGTTTTGTCACAATAGGAGCTACAGTC